CCCCCTGTCCCCCAGGCTGCAGCTGCAGCGTCTCCAGGTTTTCGGTGGCAACCACCAGCTCCTCTTCCGTCTGCCACGACTTATTTGCCTGCCTGGAGGAAGGGACAGCGAGTCAGGGTTGGGATCAGGGTCAGGGCATCCCCTTTCCTGTGGGGTCCAAGCCCCCAAGTCCAGGACCATGGGGAGATGGGGGACAGGGAAGGGGGACCGAGGCTTCCTCCCCCTCACCTGGAGGACACACGGATGAGGCGCCGGTTCAGGTACTTCTCTGGCTCTGCCAGGTTCCCTGGGGGAAGAGAGGAGGCTCAGAAGGGGTGGCAAGTGCTCCCCCTGCTCTGTGCCGTGCCAGCCGTGCCATGCTGTGCCGTACCCTCCTGCCGCTGGCTGTAGTAGGGCCCGAAGGCCTTGTCTCGGGCGATGTTGGGGTACAGGAACTGGAGGGGGTTCTCGGGAACGTTCTCCTCCATCATCATCTGGTAGTCACGGATGATGTCGGGCAGGGCCAGGGACGCCAGCTCGGCCGCCGTGTACGGATCCACCGAATGGAAAGTGGGGGATCCTGCGGGGCCCCCAGGGGTCAGTGCCCAGGGCGGGCTGAGGGGCTGGAGCCCGGGGCTGTGGGGGTGCACTCACCGCTCTCAGGATGCTCCACCCAGGTGCAGGTGACCCCCCCCAGGACGCTCTCGCTGAACCGGATCAGGAACGTCCCCGTTTTCTTCGACTTCAGCAGTTTCCTCTCTTGTTTCCGGCTCACGAAGCCCAGGATGAGTCTGGGGGAGGCACCGTCAGCCCCTGCAACCCCCGGGCCCCCCCAGGCCCCAGCCCCCAGCCCTGCTCCTACCCATCCTTCCAGAGCTGCTTGAGGTGCTCCTGGAGCAGCCCCAGGATCCCGTCCAGCCAAGCCCAGAAGGAGAAGCCGGCGGCGCCGTCCTGAGGGAGAGTGTGGGTGAGAGGGGATGGGGGGGACAGGGCCAGGGGAGGATGGGGCCATGGGGGGGTTGAGAGGATAGGGTCATGGGGGGACGGTGACAGGGGCGACAGGCTCTGCTCACCTTGGAGAACTTGGGCCAGGTCACCACGGCGCTCTCTAGAGATGCCTTCGAGCCTTGGAGGGGACAGCAGGGTGAGCAGAGGGATGGCCCAGCCCCAGCCCCAGAGCAGGGTGAGCAGAAGGATGGCCCAGCCCATCCCTGCCGTTCCCCCCTGGAGGTCAGGGCTGGCTCCCAGCCTTACCAAAGAGCTTCTCAGCCAGCATGAGGAGGTGGTCTTGGCTCAGCCCCCTCTCTGCCACGCTCTGAAACTGCCAGCTCAGCACCTCGGCCAGACGGGGCCACGGCGCTGAGGGCGGCGCCGAGAAAAACTGCTGGGCCTGCAGGACAGGGGGTGAGTGGGGACAGGGACATGGGGCAGGGGACAGGGACATGGGGCATGCAGGACAGGGGGTGAGTGGGGACAGGGACGTGGGGCAGGGGACAGGGATGGGAGAGGGACCAGGGGACGTGGATGTGTGGCAGGGGAGGGGGACGTGCACTGTGGCAGGGGTCAGGGACCAAGGGACAGATACAGGACAGAAACCAGGGGATAGGGACAGGACAGGGACCAGGGAGAGAAGGGAGAGGGCACAGGGCAATCAATAGCAGGAACAGGGACCAGGAATCTGGCATGGATGGAGGTCGGGTAAGGAGCAGGGATGGGAATGGGACAAGGACCAGGACAGGGGGGCACGGGGGCAGGAGATGGCAGGGGTGGGAGCACTGGGGGACAGTGCAGGGCTGGGGGGTCCTGCTCGCCTCGGGGTCAGAGCTGAGCATGTTGAACCAGAGGATGGAGGCCCAGGCACTGGAGAACTGGTTGTTGTTGGAGATGATGACGAAGGGCAGCGTGGAGGTCTGCAGGGGGCAGGGGGGTCAGGCTGGTAGCCCCCAGTCCCCCCAAGCCCTCCAGCCTCCCCAGCCTCCCCCAAGCCCCACAGGCTCCCCCAGGCTCCCCCAGGACCCCCAGCCCTCACCTTCAGCTCCAGCTCCAGCCCACAGTAGGCGTAAGCCAGCGTGAAGGTGATGAGGTGCAGCTCCTCTGTCACAACCAGGGGACTCTGGAAGGAGGTGGCACTGTGGTCACCACGTGGCCCCGGCCCCCACGGCGTCCCCACAGTCCCCAGCCCCACACCCACCTCGCTGGCACCTTTGCTGCCCTTGCCAGACCTGCTGTCCTTCTGCTCCTTCAGTGTCTGTGGGGCAGGACAGAGTCAGCGTGGGGCGGGGGCTGGGGCTGGGCGGGGGTCCTCACCCCGCTCCCCGCCCCTGCTGGGGACCTGGGGGTCTGGGGGGGGCCCCTACGAGGTACTGGAAGTCGCAGACCAGCCCCTCCTGGGGACTGTCCCCGGCCAGGAGCGTTTTGCTGCTCGACGTCAGGATGTTGAACTTGCGGAACCTGCGGGGCAGAGGGAGGCGGCGGGAGGGGGGTCCTGGACCCCCGGGCGGGGGGGGCACAGTCCCGGCCACCACCTCCAGCGCTCGCCCAGCTCTCACCCTTTGACCTTGGGGGGGTCCCTGCAAGAGAGAGCGGGGTGTCAGAGGGGAGTGGGACCCCCATGGGCGGGCAGGGGGCTCGTGGGGGTCCCGACCTGTCGATGTGGATCGCGGCCTCCATGCGGTGGTTGCGGTCGTGCAGCCGCACGAGCAGGCGGGCGCGGGCAGAGAACTTGCTGTTGGTCCGGAGCACGAGCGGCCGCTTGAAGGGGTTGGGGGTGCTGGGCTGCTGCTCCACCACGAAGGCGCTGGGGCAGGGAGGGGGTCAGGGCTGCCCCGGCACCGTCCCGGCCCCCCTGGCCCCACCTGCGCTGCCCCCACCTCTCAGAACCACGGAACACCCAGAGCTGGAAAGGGCCCACAAGGATCAAAGTCCAACCCCTGGCCCTGCACAGGACGACTCCAAAATCCCACCATGCACTCAGAGCGTTGTCCAAACACTCCTCGAGCTCTGGCAGCCTCGGGGCCACGACCACTGCCCTGGGGAGCCTGTTCAGCGCCCGACCACCCTCTGGGGGAACAACCTTTTCCCAATATCTAGCACTGAGGCAGCTCCAGCCATTTACATCCACTTCCCCACCTCTTCAGCAGGTGTGTGAGCTGCTCCTGCAGCCGCTGCTCCAGGAGGGGGGTCTCTGCTGCCAGCGGGTCCCTCTCGTAGGTCACCTTCTGCTGCAGGTCACCCAGTGCCCGGAGCAGCTTCCGCAGCTGGAACAGCCCCTGGCCCAGCTCCGTGAACCTGCGGGTGCCACGGGGCTCAGCGAGGGCCTGCTGTGAAGCCCCCGTGCCCCCCTCCCAGCCCAGCCCTACCAGGTCTCCAGTGGGCGCAGGTGGGTGTCGGCGGGGGCCCCCAGGCACGAGCGCTGCTGCCGCTCCCGCCAGTCCCCCAACTCCTGCTGCAGCAGCCCCCGCAGGGTCTCGCTGCGCCCCAAGAGCTGCTGCATCTGAGCCAGCACCTCCTGGGGACAAACGTGGGTCTGAGCAGGGGGCGAGGACAGGCCGTGGCCCCCCAAGCCCAGCCCGGCCCCCCCTCACCCGCCGCTGCTGGTCCAGGTTCTGCAGCTTGGCCTGGAGGGCTTGGAGCTGCCGGGCGTACTGGGGGTCCCTGCTCCTGTCCTCACCTGTGGGCAGGTGGGGGGCTCAGGAGGGCTCAGGGGGGGTGCAGGGCAGCACAATCCCCCCTCTCCCCCCGGGATGGGGCTCACCTGGCCGGTAGTGCACCTTGTAGCAGAAGTCAAAGGCGTCCTGCAGGTCCTCCAGGTGCCGGAAGGCACGTTCGGCCTCCTGTGGGCAGAGGGGGCTCAGGGGGGCTCGGGCAGCCCCCGGGGGCCAGGGGAGCCCAGGGAGGGGTCCGTTACCTGCAGGGCCGTGTGGAACTCGGCCAAGCGCCGCCGGATCTGCTGCTCCCGGCCGCTCTCCGGGGCCGTGGTGGGCGCCGGGACTGACCCCCCCTGCAGAGACACGGGGTGTCAGGCAGCAGCCCCGGGACCCCACCGGGTGAGGGGTGGACACCTCTGCCCTACCTGCCCGCCCGCCTGCCCCAGGCGCAGGATCCGCTGCTCCTCCTGCAGCAGGTTGGCCACCAGGTTGGCGAATTTCTCTGGATTCTCCTCGAACTCGGCCTGCAGAGGGGCCGGGGGAGTCAGCAGGGCACAGAGACCCCCCGGCCCCTCTCCCTCAGCCCCCCTGCCCTGGCCCTGACGCCCACCTGGAGCTCCCGGTGGGCCTTGCGCAGGTTGTGCTTCAGCATGAAATCCTCGTGGCTCGTGCCCAGGCTGCCCAGCTGATCCAAAAGGAGCATCAGCAAGGATTGGAAGAGTATCCGGGCATGGGATGAGAGCGGCTCGGCCGCCTGGCGCCTGCGGCATGGGGGGCTCAGTGCCGGCACGGCCCGTGCTCCCCCCGGTGCAGCCCCCCAGCCCCGGCCCCCCGTTACCAGTTCTGGTCCTCGATCCAGGCGGCCAAGCACTGGCGCACGGCCATGGGCAGCTCCGAGCCCGCGTACAACTGGTGCACCTGCTCCAGGTATGTGTTGGCCAGGCCCTGCACCTCCTGCCACTGCGCCATGCTGGGGGACGAGGGGAGCTCAGGGGGGCCCCGAGCACCCCCCGATCACTGCACAGCTGGAGGGTGTGGAACCAGAGCCCACGTGCCCTGACCTGGCACACCTGCACCCCACCTACCTGCCTGCAGACCGGGGGGTCCCGAGGGTCCCTCAGCTCCGGCTCAGCCCCGGCTGATCCTGGGGCTCCTTCTGCTCCGGGCAAGGGTTGAGCCACGGTGGGTTTCCCACCTGGGGCGGAGGGCACACGTCCCACCCCATCCCCACCCCGAGGGCCCCCAGCACCCCCTCCCTGTGCAGACCCCCAGGTCCCTCCCAAGGTCCTCCTAGCCTGGTCCCCCCTTGCACCCCCAGGGATCCCGGGAGTAGATCCCCCGCAGGGGGACACCCCCAAGAGACCACCCGATGGCGATGCCTGCGTGCCCCAGCTGGGACCCCCTATCTGTGCCCCTCTCCCCCGAGAGCCCCAGTCCCCCGGGACTCTTCGGAGCCGCCTCTATCCCCCGGGACTCCCCCTCACCCAGGACCCACCGGGACCGTCAGTCCCTCAGGACACTCCGGGAACCCCAAGACCAGCTCGAGACCTCCCTGAGACTCCCGGGACCCCCCCAGGACCCCCCGGGACCCCCATCCCGGACCCACCTCGGCCGCTGCCGGGTCAGGAATGCGCAGAGGCCGCGCCCCCTCCCCACTCTGCGCCGTGATTGGTGGAGCGCGGAGGCGGGGCCCCGCCTCTCTCCCGTTCTGCGTTCTGATTGGCGGAATGAGGCAGCGAGGCCACGCCCTCCCGGACAGACTTTGAGAGGGGTTGCCCATTTCCCCGGTTTGACGTCACAAGATGGGCGTGGTCAGAGAGGGTGCGGCCAGAGGGGGCGTGGTCAGCATCCTGTCGGGGGGATGGAAACGGGAGTGGGGACAGAACTGTGGGAACAGGGACAGCTGCAGAGAAAGGGGGAGAGCCATGAGGAGAGGGCGGTAGGGACAGACTATTTGGCCACTGGGCTGAGGACTGGCTGTGGGGACAGGGCTGGGGCCATGGGGACAGGGACAGGTCATGGGGACAGGGGCACAGGGCCTGGAACGCTGGGCAGGACAGGGACAGAGCAGTTGCCACCACGTGGCTCAGCAAGGCCACCCCCCAGAATCAAGGTCCGTGTGGCCCAGCACAGGGTGACCCTGCACTGATCCAGCAGGGACAGGGACACGCCGCCAGCTGCCTCATGTGGCCTTTATTCAGATGATGATGGCGGAGCCGCTGTGAGCGGTGGGCACGGGCGGGGGGTCCCCGGCCGAGGTGAAGTACCCGATGAGCGCCCGCACCCCGGCCTTGAGCCCCGGCTGCAGCCCCAGCTGCACCCCCATGGCCACGGGGCCGCCGAGGCCCCCGGTGAGCGCGGCCAGCCCGGCGTAGCCCAGGTCCTCGGTGGCCTCCAGCGCCCGTGCCGAGGCTGTGGCGCTGCAGCCCTGGAAGGCGAAGTAGACGCTGGTGCCCAGGTTGTAGAAGATGCTGACGCCGGGCACCCACTCCAGCACCCGGTGGGCTTCCTGCTCCCCCGGTGGGTTGCAGGCGTCCTCAGCTTCACCCTCGCCCTCCCGCCGGCGCCGGGACAGCCGGCGGCACAGGGACAGCCAGGCCCTCGGGACCCTCCCCAGCGAGGGTGCCACGGGCTGGGTGCCGGGCACGGGGGTCCCGAGCCGGGTGGGATCCACACAGGCTGAGCCCCCCGGCCGTGCCAGGCTGAGGAGGAGCAGGGACAGGGGCTGGGGGGCCGGGCCTTCCCGCAGCCGCGCCAGGCCCCGCAGCAGCGCCATGGCCGTGGGGGTGCCCAGCTCCCCTGCCAGCCCCAGCGCCTCGGCCTCGGCCTCGGCCGCG